CACCCCTCAGCCCGTTCGTAGGCGATATCGGATGGACTTTGCTCAAAGTGAATATGCCAAAATCTTGTGGAGGTGACCTAAGGACACAATATTGAACGATTCTCGCACAGCTACTCATGTAAAGAGTTACCAGATATTTCCAATTGCAATGCAATCAGGCCGGACAAAACAACAATGTTTCCAACACTGGACATATCCTGCAAGGGATGGATACTGCGAACAATGCTCGTATGCTTTAAACACATTTCTCGTGCTGACTACCTCACCTGTGAATCCTCCGTTGACCCAGCTGGCGCCACTAGACATCTCAGCGCACAAGCTCTGTCCCTGATTGCATAGCCACTGTGCGGATCACAGCCACTTGGATTTCAAAGCGACCATGCCAAAGCCCTGGGGTGAAATCGAGAAGCTGGGTTATCACGCAGTGCACCTGTACGTCTCAACCACCCGTTCCAGCCCAGCCTTGAAAGGACTCATCCACCACCACCCAAAGCCGATGACGCGATCTCTGTTGATTTTGATGAGCACCAACCCTCTCACTGCAACATAATAGAGGACGCCGGTCCACTGAAACAAAAGAAATGAACCAGCCACCTGAAACAAATGATTCCAAACAAATTGGTGTTTCTCCACATTTCTCGCCCTTCCAGGCAATTGGTGAAAAGGGGCACCCTTTTTGGAGACAGACCACACACGTTGACCCAACAGTCGCCAACAGTGTGCATTTCTCCAGAGGTGCCTGTTGGCGAGGGCTTGGCAGCCTGCAACGGCTCGAAGGAAGGAACCTAATAACTGACTCTGTGATCCGCTTCGGTGTCACTTCGTCCGGCCCCAATTTGCAGAGATCTGGGGAACTACAACAATGCCCGCAACAAGGAAAGGCGAAACGCCTGAAAGTGAAGACTCGGAGCAGGAACTTTGCAAAACCTTGTAACTCGATCTTTCACTTCCGGACAGCAAGCCTAACAAGTCGCTGCTTCAACCTCAAACACGCAAGATGACTCTTGGCTCCCCAAGATCAGGCTTGAAAAGACATGCTGCACAACACACAGACACAAAAGCAAACAAGAGCGACCGTTTGTGGCAGTGACTCGCGTTGTATGTGCCTCCCCCATTTATCCCACCAGGGGCTTGCCATCCAAAAATGGAGATATAGGGACGGATTTTGGTTTGTGGAATATCTGATAACCTACATGTCGAAAAGGAGATTCGGGCTGGGCAGCTCAAACCTCGCTCATGGATTGGTTGTGTCACTATCCATGGGGTGCGACAAGGGTTTGCTACCCATATGCTTCGGGTGCAGGATGGTCCCTTTCTCCATCCAAGCCGACCATCTAATCAATCACTGCCATATCGCCACTTCGCCCGCGCCTGCAACAGCGCGGCAAGGCACAGCTGCCCGATGGCCGGGAAGGAGAGGAAGCGATGCGAAGTGCTGTCCTCAAAAGCAAGGGAAGTATCGATGCAAGAAACTTCTTCAGTCCATCCAGTCCGCAGGGTCGCTCACGAAAAGAGCCGTGCTGAAATGAAACTGCACAGTCTCTGCCCAATCCAAAAACAGGGATCTGTGCATTTCCATTGTGTTGCAGGGATGGAGGTAGGGGGTCGTATAAAAGAGGAAAAAAAAGAAAGATAGAGAGAGAGAGAGAGAGAGCGGGAGAGAGAGAGAGAGATTGAGGGAGAGAGAGAGAGAGAGAGAGAAAAAAAAGAAAAGAAAAAGAGAGATATATAGAGGGAAAGAGAGAGAGAGAGAGAGATAGAGATAGACAAAAACAACAAAAGAGCCCAAACCAAAATAAAGCAAGGATGTGGTTCACGGATCCAGCGCATTGCTCCAATCATGACGTGCACTGATGCTGCTGCAGGAATGCGCCCGGAAATCACCCAAGGGTCTTGCTTGCCGACCCAGTTCAGGTCATAAGCTGTTGGAGGGAATGCTACAGGGATCCAAGCGCCAGTGGGGCTGCGCCAGCGGCTTGTTCGAGCAGTGGTTTTCTGTAGAACAAACTCGGGCCCTCTGGTGTGGCACCCCGGCAAACGGCGCATGGCCGAATGCCTTTGGGGCCAGGAGTAGGGGTCACCCCATACTTCCCGCCCAACGGCACCATTGAAAGGCTCATCTCAAACGGCCCTAAGGCTCCTTCAAAGGGGACTGCAAGGATGTTTGGTTCTGAGGGTTTCTCGAGGCAAAGGTCAGGCTGTGTAGAGGTGCAAGCCGGGTGAGGGTCAAACCACCAAGACTAAGCGAGCCCACCCAGGCAACGCGACCCACTCCCCGACGCTATCAACATACACACACAAACACACAGCACTCTGCATCTGTAGTGAACCATGGCTACGATTCATTTCGATCATGCCACATAACAAAATGCATTGGTCGGCACTGATGGGAGCAATCTACGGGCTTACACGTCAGTGCTCTCCAAAGCCCTCAAGCCCAAGCCCCGCTCAATGCGATCCAAAACACTCAGGCTGAAGTTCACCCAGTAATCCAGACTATTGGCCACATTAATGCCACCTGGTTTACCCCAACCAGTACAACAACAGGCAAGGGGGAGTTGAATCCGCCGGCACTGCCGGCGTGTCTTGTGGATGTTCTTGTATGTGTAGTCTTGTTTGTGTTTTAGTGCTGTGTTGTAGATGTTCTTTGGCGCGGATTTTTGCCTCGTCTAAATTGAAGTCACCCTGCCCCCTGTGTTTGGTTTGTTGAACACTTGATCTCCTGCAACATTTGGCTCAAGGCCCTTCTATTTCAATTGTACAGTCATCAGACGGTACATTGATAAAAGGCTTGCAGAACGCTTTACAGGTATAACAGTCAATCCAAGCCACCAGGGACAATCCATCCTCCAATCATCCATATTGGCATATTGGACTCTCTCCGGAATAGATCCAGGGACCAAATAAACGACCTCTACGACCACAAGGTACCAGTTCCGTTCTGGGACAGGTACCCCCGGCAGTGGGCCTCAATTTGTGGTAGCGGAGCTGGTTTTCCGCAGAGATCCAAGGGAAAATGTCATCCGATGGAGAAGGCTTCATGGAGGCCTAATTGAGTATGGCCAAATCATCCGGCTATACGGAGGAAACACTCAACTTATCGATGGCCGCCAGGCAGCCGCCATCGTACGACGGAAAAGTCAGCTGGTTCAGGTGTGAAGAACCCGTGGACGACTAGTGACTGGGTGACAATCACCACGGTGGAGAGGACCACTGCTCAAAAGAAGACTCACCGGACATGCATATATGTACAAGGCAGTCCTCCAAGATGACCTTTTGCAAGATCCTGATGAAGGAGTCAACTATTTCAAGAACACGCTGAAGAAGTACTTCCTGAAGGGTGCGACCAAAGTGTATCTGTACAGGCTCCTCAGTTTCTTCAATCATAGAAGGCAGAACCAAGAGTTCCTCATTTTACCTCAAAATTCGCAATCCTTCTCATGAGATTGAAGGCAGCATGGATGGACTTGATGCCCGTCTTCACGGCGCAGTCCCCAGTCCGTACAGGACGCAAACGCAAGAACACTTGCTCGACATCAGCAAGCAGCTGGTACTCGAGTACCGCCTCCAGTCCTGCTCAATGAGGATGATCCGACAGTCCTCAGACAGTATATGACGGGAATGCAGGACAGACAGCGGGACGCATTTCCCTTCGGGGATAATCTCATTGCGCAGTTTTTAATGATTCAGAGTGACTTGTCAGATCAGCAGAGAGAAAGACTGACCAGCGCTATGTCACTGAGAAACATTTCACTAGAGCACTACTCCTATGAGATGCTGAAGACGCATTACCATGAACTCTTCATCACGACCAGGACATCCATCCAAGATCCATCAATCCGACCTCAAGGAGGCAACCGAAGCAACACATTCTTCATCCTCGAACAAGGCGAATACGAAGGAGAAGAAGGCTTTTGGGTTGAAGATGAAGATGGACTTGAAGGATTCAAAGCTCAGAGCATATGACAAACCAGAGGTCATCCAAGCATTTGCTGATATCCTGGGATCGCTGATGCAGCCGACCGACCGTCCCTCTGTGGACCAACTCAAGACGCATGAGTTCACCCCATCCCTGACGATCAACATGCTTACTATGAACCATGGAAACCTCACTAGGAATCCAAAGCTGGACAACAAGGAGGTGAATAACATGGCGATGAAGGATCGACCAATCACGAAGATGATGATGCAGAACAGCGCGCACATCATATGCCTAAATGAAGCAGACGCATTCCTCAGTCCTCAAGATGAGAAATCCAAGGAACTCATCAAGACGTTCATCCGGTTTGGATACAAGGGCATAGTTATCAAGCAATGGTCACGCAGACCCTGGATGACCCATCGCATGCTTCGTCCGCGGCGGACCTTCCGCAAGAGTGGAACTGTTGGCACGGCACATTTCCACAAGGAGTCAAAACTGGGGAACTACATTCGGTATGTTCAGATGCTTCTTCGGAACCGAGAACCATTGCACTGATGCCGAATACGACATCCCGACCTCTGACTGCCTGGCAACCGCAGGAACATTCATGTTCATGGAATCCAAGAAGTACATTGGACCGAGGTTGCCGCCACGCACAACTGTCCAAGGACATGGGCGCAACAAGGAAATTGTCGTCATCCACATCGAGCAAAGTGATGAATTTCGTGGCGTGTTTCCAAAGTCATCCAATGACTCACTCCTCGAATTCGACAGCCGCCATGTAACGAGGGCAGACCTCCCGTTTGCTACCATTGGAGTTTTTCACATCCATCCATCAATCAGCCATGGAGCAGCACGGGACGATTCTCAAACCGAAATCATGCCGCTCGTGACATTGTATCAATGCGATGCGATCACCGGAGACGCCAACAAGTCCGCGAACACCTACAGCAAACTCCAACACGTCTACAATCCGGCCAACGGTCTCATGCATATTCTCATGAAGGCGTGCCAGAGATTGTGGAATGAAACGGAGAACTTGCCACTCGTGGACAGAATGGAATATGCAATGGAGACTTCCTTCACCCTGAAATCCATCGTCCGTCATCACCTCTACATGAAGACTGGATCCGGGTTTGATCGAACATTCCATGACCTTCGTATTTGGATGGGGCAAAACAAACATCCAGCAGGTTTTCCAGAAGGAAGAGATGAACGCAATGAAAGATGATCAACTGGAAACCATGCGGAACAATCCTACGTCTGCCATCTTCGACTATCAGGTCTCATCCGCGGAACGCTTCAAGCACGTGAACAACGAGATGTTCATGAGTGGCTCTCAAGATTCCGATTCACACAGTCCGCTGATGGTCTACATCCGCAGCAGATCTGCCACCAAGCAGCGAAACTTTGAGCGATCCAAGGAGTACCTCAAGAAGAAGCAACCCTGACTCAGCAAGAGTACACGGAATACAACAAGCAGCAGTGGGGCAATCCTAAGCAGTGGAAGGACTACGGCGACTCGACCTGGAACGACGGCAGTCAATCCGACAGCAGCTAATCGGTGGTACCGTTGGCTATCTGATGAAGCTGCCACCTCTGGCATCCACTCGACCTCCTTTGGTCTGAGTGATCCGCCAAGGAAAGAAGTTTTTCTGAAGCTCGACTGAGAGAACACCCGAAATCGGCACTACGAATTTCAACCGAATTGATCCTCACCGCCAACAAGACGATTCAGTGAGAGATCAATAGTTTCACATCCGTCCCGCATGTACATAGCGTTGTACATCATCTTTTAGATACATCTAGGTATCTCACAGAATCAGTACAGACTGTTTTCCATTTTGCAAATCAAGACATTTCATCCGCGCAGAAAACAGGATGAATTCCGTATTTCAATACACATGGCTACGGCATAAATCAAGGCTACGGCCGAAGGCCAAGAAGCCAAAGATATTTCATACCTAGTGCCGGCGATCAAAAGAAATTTGTGTCTGTTTTGTGTCTGTTTTTGACCAATGTTGATCGCCTGCAACCATTTGGCTCAAGGCCCTTCTGTATCATAGTAATACTCATGATTCCGTGACAAAGGAACCTTTGCAGGCCGCTTACAGGATTACACCACAGGACAATTCACCAGGGACAATCCATCCTCCAATCATCCATATTGGCATATTGGACTCTCTCCGGAATAGATCCAGGGACCACATAAACGACCTCTACTACCACAGGGTACCAGTTCCCTTCTGGGATAGGCACCCCCGGCAGCTGGCCTCAGGGGGGAGGGGGTTCGAGCGTGGCTAAAGCTGCACTTTGGTACGGTCATCTGTCTAAGGAACTTCACTGTGCAACTTGACAGCCTGAAGCCTCGGGAGCCGGCGGAACACGCCAACGGCGGTTAAATAAACAGGTTGGGGGATGAAACACAGGGTCACTGCGACATGGGCCACTCAACCCCCTTCCCACTTAGTCGAGCCATGCCTCGTTTGAGACCCGCATAGCTCGCCAAAGCTGTGTGCAGTCACAGGACAGCAAGGTCAAGGACAGCATGCTGCTGGCACCTGTCACACAGTGACCACAGGGCATAAACAGCCAAGGACCTTAACGAGATCCCGGGACAGCCACCCTGCAATTGGTCTGCCCAAAATATGAGAATTTGCCAACGGGCAATCAAGGATATATTGGTAAATGACTTTGATGATGAAAGCCGAGCTCGTTTCATCGACGAGCTTGTTCTGATTGAAAATCAGTCCGCGTGGACACGTCCCCTACTAACCTCCAATTTCAGAGTTGCTGACACTAACGCGGGAGCGCAACACCAAAAAACACATGAGCAGAAGCGGGCAACTTCCATCAAGGGCTACGTCTTGGGCAGCATCTTCGCATTACCTCATTGATGTTGGGATTAAACAGAAACTTGCTATTGGCTTCATGCAGCGGCAAACAAAACAACAGCGGGACAAATTCAGTTCACCAACCAAAGAGGCAGACCGGCAGGCAGGCAGGCAAGCTAAGATCAGCAAAAGCAAAATGCAAGAAAGACGAAAGCCAGCAACGCAGAGTGAAGCAAAAAACAACAACAAAAACCTAAGAACAAAAAACAACGCGAAGCAAAGCAAGGCCCGCGATGCACAAAAAGACAGAGCACTCGATCAAATGAAACAAAGGGCGCCAAGAATACAAGCAGAAACGTAAATAGACATCAAATGGAAAACCAACCCAAAACAAGACCCGCCCAACTGATAAGCGCGCAACCAAGCAAACAAACAAATAAGCAAGCAAGCAAGCAGGCAAGGCAAGCAAGCAAGCAAGCAAGCAAGCAAAGCAAGGCAAAGCAACCAAACCAAGCAAAGCAAGCAAAGCACGCAAAGCAAGCAAAGCAAGCAAAACAAAGAAAAGCAAAGCAAAGCAGAACAAAGCAAGCAAAGCAAGGCAAGCAAGGCAAGGCAAGCAAAGCAAAGCAAGCAAGGCAAGGCAAGCAAAGCAAGCAAGGCAAGGCAAGCAAAGCAACGCAAAGAAAAGCAAAGCAAAGCAAAACAAAGCAAAGCAAGGCAAAGCAAATAAAAGCAAAGCAAGGC